GTGGTCGAAACTCAGCTGCGTGACAACCTGTTTCACACTCGTTGCACAATCCAAGGTCGTCAGCCTGGAAACCGTAAGGAAGCTCAGACTAAGCACTATCAAGCACAACGAGCCCTACAGCCTTCATTGGCTCAATGATCATGGAGCTGTAAAAGTCACGAAGTAAGCGTGGTAGAAATTGAACTCGATCAATTCAAAGATCGAATTCTTTGTGATGTAGCTCCAATGCACGTGGCTCACATCCTCCGGGGATGACCATGCCAGTTTGATCGAGGCATAACTCACCATGGAAGTCAAATTGTTATACCTTTGTCCATGAAGGGAAGAACCTGAAGTTGAAACCTCTGTCGCCGGTAGTGGTTCGAGAGGATCAACGACAGTTGGAAGCGAGAAGAGGCCTGAGACAAGAAGAAAAGGGAAAGGAGGTGAGTTTGATGGCTCAAAGGCTCGTGCTCACTGCTCTCAGGCAAGCTAGAAATCATCAGCTGCCCGAGAGGTGGCAACTGTGTTCCTCGTCGATGGCGAGACAAGGGAGGAGAGTCTATTGGGTGGCGACTTGGGGAGCAAGTCAATCCAACCCAACACTGCAGGGACCTTCCATGGCTCTCCATGAAGCTCACCCATGGATCAATTGGCATTAATTCAACGCCAATAGACGAATCAAGATCGAGAAAATTTGCCCCTGGAAACGAGTAAATAGGAGCAAAAATTGGGTTATTGGTTGGAGATTTCGGCAACACATTGAACCAAACTGCTGATGAGGAATCGTTGAGAGAGGTTCTAGGAAGATATACTAAATGCCAATTTGAGTTCAAGCTACCTGCGATCGAAAACCCCAAAATCAAATTCAACATTTTGGGTTCCCTGTTTTCAAATGACGATGATGGCGGGAAAGGCGAAGTGGGCAATTCGTCGCTGCAAACGAGGAGTCAAAGCAAGAGACCCATCCAGAAATTCAATTCGACGACCGACGAAGCTAATGGTGACACTGAATTATTCTGGAGATGCTGGAACAAAAATCCCGAATTCTGGAGCTGAAGAACAGTACCCTAATTTCCCAGAATTAGCTATTTGGGAAGCCCTTTTTCTATCCGATCTGGGATCGATTTGCTGAAGATTTTGAGGAGACAAGGACCAAATCTTTGAGGTCAAAGCTTTTTCAACAAGGGGGCTTGATACAATCCTGGAATCAATCAATTTCCATCCAGGATTGATCTTCAAAGAGAGCAAGTCCACAAGTGATAAAGAACCTAAAATTTGGCTAAGTCTTTTCTATGTTCTAGGTTGCCAACTTTGGAGGCTTGGTTCTTTTAAATTCACTAGATGAAAATTCGAGTTTGATGGCTTGTATTAAAGATGGAGTACTCTTAAACACAATGTATAGCTTGGAATTGCAAGGAGAAGTATGGGAAACGATGATCTAAGCTCCCAAAGTTGCCCTCTTGAAACAACAAATCTGCCTATTTTTTACCAAGGCAAAAGCATTTCCAAAGTGCTCATTTTGGAGCTCAATTACTGGAGATTGAGACACAAGCAGCTGGTGATTCAGGTTGGAACTGAAACTAGAACACTACCTAAACCATGAGAAGGCATTGGATGAGGTCGACTTGACTTAGAAGATCATTTTTGGGACGTTCAAAGAAGCTCTCCTGAACCGCTAGTAATCCGCATTCCAATTGGATTCAATGTATCAATTAGTTTCCTTGTTTGATTAAGTTTAATTCCAGTTGTGTTTTAGTTTTTTTTAGTTTGCTTAAGCCTATAAAAGGCCTCATTCGTGTTTTGAACAATCAGAGTTGATTTTGAGTAAAAAAAAACCCCCAAAATTCCCAATGCGAGAGCTGTGAGTTTGATTTGGTTTTGGTTGCGATCAAAACTTGCTGAAACCCTAGCCTATTGGTTGAGAAACACACTCCATTATATCGAAAGAATCACTATAGCGATCGTGTAATCTCCTAGGTGGGAGATTCCCCTTTCATGTCTATCTAATTGAAGCTCGAACTTGCTTACCTAAGCTTGTTCTCGAGCTCGGTTTGTGCTTAAGCAACCCATTGGTTTGCTTGAGTTGCTGCGTGACTTGGAAACTCCATTGAGACCCGATTTTGGGCTCATCAAGAACCCTACTGTTCCTAAGCCGTCATTCCACCTCCTCACGCCTGTACTGCATCTTTGTGAGCTCTCAATGTTGACCTATCACGTAGACCCCCCTCCTTTCATCCAGTCGCTAATGCTTACATCTCCTTTGCCCACCTTCACTCATCTCTTTGCATCGCTTTGCTTACAAAATCGGTGATTCGAGAACCACCTTAGGTGTCACAGATTTGAGAACCTCCTCGAGTATTCCATAATCACATATCCGAGAATTGCTTCCATCCATCTCCTATTCTGCAGATTATAAATCTGCAACTCTTGTTATTATTACAGTGAGTAACACAATTCCAATCCAACCTACACATTCGAAGGGAATAGCAGTAATGAATAACATAAATGCAATGCATTGAGCATTCTTGTGCCCCTGTTTTCTTTAGTTCCAGTACTTTGAAATTGGTTCTCTTTAGGCATGTTCTCTACTGATTGTCACTGATTTTAATAAGAATGCTCATCTTTTTCAAGATTTCCCCTTTCTCATTTGTTTATGAGATTTAGGTTTGTTGTTCTTCTTATTTTGGACTAAAGTAGTGTAAGCACAAAGACTTCAATGGAAAAATAAGGTTTATAAGTATAATATGCTCATTTATTATGCATTTTTCTCAAACATGTCCCTCTACTTTAAATCATATCAAATATGCCTTTCTACTATCAACAAATTCTCAAACATACCCTTCCATTAGTTTTTCCATCCGTAATCCGTTAAATTCGGTCCAACCGTGATCTACCCAGCAAAATAAATATGTAAAGACATTTTTGCATCCAAGTTTGTTTCCAACCTATCAACTCTCATTCACCCAGTACACCCTCTCCCAAATAAATAAAAAAATTCGAATCAAATTAATGGTGCTTACCTTCTCAAAAAGCCATCTTCCTTCCCAATTTCCATCTTCTAGTCAAAACCCTAAGTTGTTGCATCATCTTCTCCACATGAAGAGTTTCAATTTTCACATAAGTAGGTAGCCGCTGAAGCAATACTCCAATTTATCACCCAATTTCAAACCCCAATTGCCATCCGCTTCGCATCTCTTCTCATCAAGCCAAATCCTCATCTTGTAATTGATGCACAGCTAATGTATCTTGCACTCATTGCTTTTGTATTTGTTTGCATGTGAAGTCCAATTGCCCAAATCAATTCATTGTTTGTTTGTTTTTTTTTTTTTTTGTTTAATTGTGCTCTTGAGATTAGATCACCATGTTCTAAACTTGTATCAAACCTATTCCGAATTTCCGAGTCAATTCCTTGCATTTGTTTTTTTTTTTTTATCACTCCTTTTTGTCTTGCTTCTTTCCCTGTTAGACAAGCGTAGGTAATATCTAGCTCAAGCAAAGGTAGTATATAATGGGAATGGGGTACAAGTTCTTTTGGAGTTTTGAAATTGGAAGGTAGAGGAGTTGTAGTCTTAAATTTTACGTACTGATCTTTTGGAATTTTATGGTTGTATTTCATTCAGTTTACTAATTTGAATTGAAATTCAGAAGATTTTTGGAGAGCTAAATTTTTATTTTTGGTATCCTGGATTGTAGAATTTATTTTATGGAAGGTTTTGGAATTTGCGGGCCAATATATCACTTGATTAAATTCTCATATTAACTGAAAGCATAGGGTGGGGTGGGGCAAACCCGCCCCGTACAAGGCAGGTCATGGGCCATATAATGAAGGCACGTAGCGGGTCTTGGGCGGGGCGAGTCCAAATACAAAAAACCAGGGCTGGCCTGGGTATTGCACTACCCGTCCTGCTCTGGACCCATTGTCATCCCTAGAGGTGGGAATTCAACCAAAAAGAAAATACCAAAGGGAATCAGGGAAGGTCGATGAGTTAAAAGCAATAAAAGGGTAAAATTGTCATTTTCTACTATTTTGCTGGGTAGATCATGGTTAGACCGGATTTAATGGATTTCGGACGGAAAAACTTACGAAAGGGTATGTTTGAGAATTTGTTGATAGTGGAAGGACATATTTGATATGATTTAAAGTAGAGGGGCATGTTTGAGGGGAAAAACGCATAGTAGAGGGGCATATATTACACACCTATAACCCAAAAAATAAGGGCTAATACCACTGGGAAACCCGAACTATTAACTTTGTGTCATTTGTGTCCTAAAGTATCTGATATGACATTTGTGTCATGACGTATGATAATTATGTGTCATTTACGTCCTGACAATTTCGTTGACCGTTATAAATAACGGTTGACCAAACGGTCAAACATAAAATGTTGACTGTTGGTTACATGGCACATATGTGGCAGCCACGTATGCGCCACGTCAGTTGCCACATCAGGTTTTTATTTTTAAATTAAAATTTAAAAAAAATACAAGATAAAAAATAAAAACTAACCTCTAGTTCCTCATCTCTTCATACCCAAACACAGATTCTTCATACTCGAACACAGATTCACCATCGCAGTCGTAGAAGAAGAAGAAGAATTGGGGGTGAGAGATCGATGCAGCGGTGGCGGGTGGTTGCAAGGAAAAAGAATTGGGGGTGGCCGGTGGGGGATCGATGCAGCGGCGGCGGGTGGTTGTAAAGAAGAATTGGGGGTGGGAGATCGATGCAGCGGCGACGAGTGGTTGGGAAGAAAATGAATTGGGGGTGGGAGGTTCGGAAGGTAGATCTACCTTCAAGTAGAAAACGGAAACAATGGAGACGGTGGTGACGGCGACAACGAGCATCACCAAGTTCGTCGCCATCACAAATCGCGAGGAGGCCGACCTTTCCGAACCCTGACCTTCCGGCATTTGTCCTCCCGGGAGCGGAGCAGAGCAGTTCGAAAACCGGCAAATTCGCTCTCAGATTCTTCTCCCTCGGCCGCTCCACCAACCGATACCTCGGCATTTGGTTCCACGAAGTCCCGGAGCTAACCGCCATCTGGGTAGCCAACCGGAACAACCCCATCGCCGTCGGAGACTCCGGATTCCTCTCAATCGACTCCACCGACAACCTCATCCTGTTAGCCGGTGACAGAAAAGATCAAAATCGAAATCAAACTCAAACCCAAGTTCCCATTTGGTCAACCAACGTTTCGGCCGGTCTCAATTCTAGTTCTCCGCTCTCGGTGAGGATTTTGGATTCAGGGAATTTCGCACTGTTCAGCAGTTCCAATTCGACGATTCTATGGCAGAGTGTTGATTACCCGACGAACACTTTCCTACCCGGAGCGAAGCTCAGGCTAGATCGGAAATCGAAGGTAAACAGGAGAGGGAAGCTAGAGCCTCTATTTGATTATGAGAGGGAGTTTTCTAGAGGAGCTCTACAAATCTCAATGGTGAGGAACAAAGGAGCTCTGCTGTTCAAACTTTGCTCCTATAAATCTCTCTTCTTCTTCCCTTTCTTCTCTTGTACCTCACCTCTGTTCGGAAAAGTGAGACATTTTGGAACTTCATAGTTTTCCCTGGAGATGCAGATCTACGGATCTGAGTTTTTTATTTTTAATTTTTCTTTTAATTTCTTTTTGTTAGTTCATTTATTTTTTATAGAAAATAAATTAAAATAAATAATAAAATTCCACGTCAGATGCAACATCAGCGCTGACTAGACTTTCTGTTAAAAATTAACGGTCAACGCCAGTCAACTATAACGGAAAAATAGTTTGGGACACAAATGTCATATCGAATACTTTAGGACACAAATGACACAAAGTTAATAGTTTGGGTTTTCCAGTGGTATTAGCCCAAAAAATAACTACAATATTTTGTGATACTAGCATGAATTTTAAAATCAATATTCTTGTGGTACAGAACATTAAAGAAATGGTAGGAGAAGAGTTGCCATAAAACTTATAAAAAATGTTGTTGCTAGAGTTGTTACTCATTTGGAGGCCCAACTTCAACAAGTGGTCGAAAACCAATGTGAAGAAGAACAACGACCTTATGAATGAAAAAAGCGGAAGAAGACTTCAAAATCATGAGATGATTTCAAAGAAGTTGTTGTAGTTGGTGTGGACAAGCTAGAGCGCCACCATTGCAAAACTAGATTGTAGAAGAACTCATTAGGTTATACAAGTCAGTTCTTGATGCATAAACAAAGATGCCTAAGGTATATGGAGGGGACAACATCATTTAAGCTTTGAAAAAACTTATATTGTCGTACCGTCCATAACTTCAATTATGATCATGCTAAGGTACGAGAATTGATGGCTCATTTCATCATTGTCCATGAACAACCATTTTCTACTGCTAAGTATGAAGTGTTAAACAAGTTTACTAGAGCATGCACTTCACATTATAAGAAAAAATTTCATACCACTGCTACAAATGAAGTATTTGATACATATAAGATCTTTAAAGGAAAGATATAAATCTCTTCTTGAAGGGGTGCATAGGATGAGCTTAACAACTGATTGTAGAAATCTAATTAGGGATGGCAATTTCGACCTGACCCGTTTTACCCGACCTGTTTGATCTGCTTTGGGACAAGTTCGACCCGGCCCGTAGGCGAGGCGGGCATGGATATTCTCATCGACCCGACCTGCCCTAACCCGCCCCATTTTCGACCTGTTCTTTCCTAAATTACATGTAATCTTAGTCAAATTATTCAGGATTTTCTTTTTATTACATCATATTTTAGCTATTATAAAGTTATAAACTAGTGAAAACCTCAATTTCTCCAATAATTTAACTACATTTCATCATATTATGATTTGTTTCTTGGTCTTATAATGAAAATAAAGAATATTTCTAATGTCTTACATATAAATGACATACCCATTGGGTTGACTTGCACCGACCCGCACCTCGTTATAAATTACCCGACCTGCCACGAGGCGGGTATGGGTATCAAGATACCCGCCCAAGATACCCACCCCGAACCTGCCTCATTGCCATTCCTAAATCTAATCAAACTATGCAGTGTATGGTTCTTACTTGTCATTTTGTGGACAATGATTGGGTGTTGCAAAAATGAGTTCTTAATTTCTGCCATGTTAAGCCATCTCACACTGGACTTATTGTGTCTGATGCATTGCACAAATGTTTGGTGTATTGGGATGTAACTACAGAAGTGTGGAAAATCACAATAGACAATGCTTCTTGCAATGAAAGTCCCGTGAAGAATTTAAAAGGAATTCTTAGTTATCAAAGTGCAGTTCTTCTTGGAAGAGAACTGTTCCATATACACTATTGCGCTCACATACTTTATATATTAGTGCAAGATGGTTTGAAAGAGATTTAAGAGATAGTTAACATTATTAATGATGTTAATGATGGTTTGAAACACATTACTACTTCAGAAGTTTGAGTTGCAATATCTTAGGATATTGCTAAGCAGCTAGAGTTGCCTACCTAAAACTAAAGCAGGTCCCACATAAAAAAATGATTAAAACATAAACCAAACTTAAAGGCTATGTTTAATTCGAGTGTATTATAAAGTTGTTGTTTTTTTATCCAAGTGATATCAAGAGAAGACAAGAGTTATACAACCAAATCTACCCAGGAACCCCAAACAAACGAACCCCTAATGAAGCCACCTGAGAAAATCAAAAGACTCTAATTCTATGATAGACAAAAGCAGTGCTTTACGCGCCACTCTATGGGCAACACTGTTGGCGGCCCTAGGTACCGTCCTAAACTCTATACAAATTGACAAAGAGTCTAGAATTTGACGACACTCCCAGAGTACCGAACCTCCAACGAAACCTTCAAGAACACCTTGCTGGATCTGGTTGATGACCACCTCGGAATCTCCTTCCACCATCACTTGAGACAAGGATCTCGAGGCGACTAGTGAGATAGCATCTCTCACTGCTTGGAGCTCTGTTAGGTAAGGGCGGACTACTCCTTGGTGACGCAGACCGGCTGCCACCACCACATGTCCGTCTGAGCCACGGACTACAAGACCAGACGAGCACCCTGAATCACAAACTAAGACATCGAAATTTATCTTCAAAAATGCGTTTGGTGGAGGCGACCAAGCTGGAGGAGAAGGAGATTGGAGGATCATCTTGGTGGGTGGAGGAGGGTGGAGCAAACTGGAGACTTGAAGGACCTGGATGTAGAATTGATTGGCTAAGGAACATACATGAGGTTGGTATAATTCAAACTTAAATCAAACTTAAAGGCTATGTTTAATTTGAGTGTATTCTAAACTTTTGTGATATCCAAATATTTTTTCATGTGTAAATTCTCTTATGGTGTGTTTGGATAGAATGATTTGGATTTGGTATTTGTGATTTGGATTTCTAAATGTCAAATCATGTGTTTCGATATTAATTACATTTGGTATTTGGATTTGTGCCAAATTCATGGGGTGATTTCCAAATACATGTCTAGTGTATTACTTGTAACTTCAAATACATTTCAATAACTAGTGATTTGAAATACCTCCCAACAAAAAATTGGACCTATTTGTAAAATATTAAAAGTTTAGGTACTATAGTGTGAGGCAAAACATATAAAGGTACCAAAATGTAATTTTACCATCAAAATTTCTGGACCTTTTTGTATAATTTCAAAAGTTTAGGTACTAAATTATAAGAAAAATAAATTTGGATACCAAACTGTGATTTACCAAAATTTGTAGTAAGTGGCCAAAAAGTTCAAAATTAAAATAAAAATCAAGAAATTTAAAATACAAACAAAATACAAATGAGTATCCAAACAACGAATTTGAATTAAATATACTTCAAATTCTAGTATTTTAAATGCATGCATTTTAGAAATATGTATTTCAAATACGAAATACACCTATGTAAACGCACCTTTCCACTTTAGCTAATACCCCAACAAACTTGGGTCGGGTCAGGGTTGCCCGTCATAATAATAGACTCTTTTCTCATTTAACTCAACTAGAATGAAAGCCCGTGCTTCGTGCCTGGACATTTCATTGCATGTAATAATAGTGTTCTTTAGATCGGAATGCACGCAGATGAGTCGATATCAATGGTGGCTCATTATTTCAATGAATCATTTCTTCGGACAGAAGAAGATTTAAACTTGTAAATTATTCCAGTGAAAAATGGTACCATTCAACAAATGATAATATACTAGTGTAATATAGTGTAATATGATCAAGTTGTAACACAACAGTCCCATTAGTAATAAGCATTTGAAACATCAATTATTTATAATTAAAGAGATCCATACAGTTTTGATAATTTTGGCAGTACTCCTTTTTATTTTAGGAATCCAAACTCATGTTCATTTTATCTCACAGGCGAAGGACAATCAATGATCATTGTGCAAACTATTTAGGAAATATAAAAATTTGACTATTACCGAATACATCTCAATTGCTAATTAGTTTACTTTCTTCACCAAGACTTACATTTAAAAAAATGGCATGGTTCCTGAAGGGTCCGGATAGTATAATAACAGTCTATTTGTTGTTAGTATAACAACAATTGTCATTAAGGGCAAAAAGGTAAACTTACATAAAAAAATAAGCATAAACTCCTTCTCGTCCCTCCTTCCCTGCGTCAAACCACTTTCTCCTTCCTTCCAATTTATGCCTACTCTTCGACTATCTGTTTCTCCCCATCTCAATTCTCAACTACGGCCGGCGTTCCCGATCATCGGCGAGCAAATCTTCAATAGGAAAAATCTTCTCCCCAATTATCTCCTCCGCCGCCTTCCAGTCTGCAATTGTTGAGGCCACAACTACATCGTCTCAGATCTGAAATCTAAGATCGGAGTTGGCGGCAGCGTTTGAGGCAGGTCTTGGGCTTGAAATTGATCTCTCTTTCTTTCGCCGACCGCTTCTCTGCCCATCCGCTTTGCTTTTGTCGGAAATCTCAACAAATCATCATCATTTATCGCCTATTGAATCCAGAAGATGCGGCGGAACTTCGCGATCTGCACTGGAGGCTAGCGCTATCAGCGAGGAGGTTGCTGCTGACTTGGACGGAAACCGGACGGAACTGTCCGATACTCCTTTCACCGGAGGAGCTTCGGAAACCTGCGGAGGTTCCGGCGGATTTGAGGGCGACGGCGCTGGATCCCGCAATAGCAGCCATGAGAGCTCCGCCGAAGTTCCTCGAAGGCCGATTTCATGTGGGTCTGAAGTCTTGAGCTAATTTTGTTGATAGATTGAATGTTTGATGATGAACCTGTGCGCCTGTGCACTTCCCACCAGCCACCTGTTTTGCATTATTACATTCAAAGAGAAGACAAGAGTTACTGCTACGAAATTTTGTGGCCTTCAGACCCACATGGAGTGGAGAGATACTGCTACGAAATTTTGTGGCTGTCAAATTACTTTTATTTTGTTAGTTTTTCTGTATTTTTAAAAATAGAAAATAATATGGTTAAAACTTGAAAGTAAACTAATTTATTAAACTAATAAATTGCAATAAGTCACGACAAAACAAGTGAGTCCTTGCCAAAATAAAATAGCCTTTTTGATAACGAATTATTTTCTTTTGGATTATTATAACCAAGTTTTTTAAAGTAT